ATAACTATAAATAAGGCTTCTTTTATTTTTCAAACGACTGGGTGTGCTAATATATTCTGGGAGGTAGCGGGGGCTTCGGCCCTGCCAGCCGCCAGCCCAGCCCCGACCTCAGGAGACGCAGACTCTGGGAGGCTCCTGAGAAACTGATGCGGCCGCACATGTTACACTGCCATTTCTTAAAGACTGCGTTTTTTCCTTTAAAACTGTGCCAATTTTATTAAGAGGAGAAAAACATCTCTAAATATTACAAAGAAAGCACCAAGGGTACAGCTTCACCTACCTGGATAAAGAACGACTGCCCCGTTAGCAGAAGTGATTTTCCAAAGACAGCCGAGAACTCGGGTCGTGACCTCCAGGTTACTTTCAAGTTCATTTTCATAGAAAGATGATCAAAATTTCAACTTGAATGTTTTCCGCAGCTGCTGCTGTTTGCTGTTTCCTGAAATCTGGAATCCTACGTTTTGGAAAAAGATAATTTCTGAATGAATATTTTTCAAAAGTTTATGGTATATTGCCCTTGGAAATTCCTTTTTTGAGTCTATAAAGTATTACCAAATAACTCAGAAGTGACACCGGGAGTGCACATTTGTCCCTGGAAGAAATAATACGTTAAAATTAAAAAATAAACAAGAGAATATCAAACATTAAAAATAAATTTGATTGTGAACAAACCTCAATTTACCTCAACGTGAGAAACATTTCGAGGGTCTACGTTTGCAACAAATATAGTAACCCCACCACAACTACACCAAATAACGGAGAAAACCTTTGCTATCACATTTATAAAGTCCATTTCTGTAAAAAATAAAATAAACCAAACCAAATAAAAATTCATGCACAGTTGACCTGATACTTCACTGACAGCTTTAAAAAGAAAGAATTTTAAATGAAACACTTTCAACAATAATTAATTAATCTAATAATTTTCACCACACAGTTGCTATTTTAATTTAATTCATGAGGAAAATCAACTTAGAGTGCAAAAAGGTTAGTCACAAGATCTGAGCTATTCCCGCATCATCATGTCAACATGTCATGACCGTCAGGGAAACAATTGCTTTTAACACACTCTGAACTTCTTTGCACGGGATGAAGGCAGCGAAATGTGCATTCAGCTGACTTCCAGGTATCGCTACGAACAGGCAAATGCAATCGAATGCAGTGCTCTTATTCGGTCAAATAACCATCGTTGATAACCAGAGACTTTGTCCTATCCCCAATGTAAGAAGATACTTTGTAAAATTAGTAAACAATGAGTGCATTTTAAACTAATGAAATATGTTTTACACAAAAAAAATGGCATTTGAGAATGTAATACTTTCAAAAGCAGTATTACTTTTGCCAAGAAAAATCGATAATTATGAGCATTCTGTAGAACTATGCATGAGATCTGCTCCAATCAAAGTCACTTCATCCAGGCCAGCTTTGCTGCTGCATCTAAACACCAAGCTGGTGCTGCGCACAGGGCCTGGCGGGCAAGAAGCAGGCCAACACAAAATCCTCAGTTCTCCGGGAATCTTAGTGCCTACTCCTTCTTTATGAATGTCTTACATGTGATTTAAAAGATGATTAAACCATTGCGTTCTATTTCTCTGTTTTACCTAAACTATAGCTTTAAGGAATAAAAATAAGAGAAACTAAAAGACTAGTATCCAAAGTGTTCGGATCCAGGGGCCTGCCCGGTGGCCGAGCGGTTAAGTTCATGTGCTCCCCTTTTGTGGCACAGGGTTTCGCTGGTTCGGATCCTGGGAGCGGACATGGCACCTCTTATCAGGCCACACTGAGGCGGCATCCCACATAGCACAACCAGAGGCACTCAAAACTAGAATCTACAACTATGTATGCAGGGGCCTTTGGGGAGAAGAAGGGAAAAAACAGAGAAAAAAAATGTTCAGATCCAAGTTCTGCATCCATTTGAAAGCATAATCTAATTATGGGCTTACGAAAGTCCATACTTAGACTTTAGAGGTTGGTGTTTTGTGCCTGTTGCTGGAAGGTAATTAAACCTCACATACGTCCTTTGCCTTGTAAAAGGAAATTATGCTGAAGCAGCCAATGTTTCGATTTATTTCATCAAATGGCACAGCATTCTATATCACCTCTCCCAATAAACAATAGATATTTTATATGTTCACTGTGTGCGTAAGTATTGATGCTCTTAATAACAATAACAACAATAATAAGCTACACCTAAGTAAACACTACGTGTTAAAATTACTTTGTTAACGTGTGTGATGCATATATTCTACTGTTTCTCTACTGCTTTCTATTTCTATAACATTAACTTAGTGCCACCAATATATGATTACTTAGTAGATATATACAACACATGATGTTAAAAGAATGAAACAAAGCGTATTTACTTCTTTGTTTTCATACAACTTTTGGTCTAGGTTGCAGAAATAGCAGAGATGAGTTAAAGAGAAATCCAAATTGTACAAAAACAATAGAGCTTAATAAAAGTGATACATTAGGTCAGTTTCATAGAAACAATATCGATCGTAGCACCTAACTCAAATTTGGGTCTAATGTGAATTCTTTTTAACTTACATATATATTTTTAAAATTTTTATCTTCATCTTATCAAGTCATATCAAATATCTTTCAGTGAAGTGCATTTGTTATCTGTAGTCATTTGCACAAATTCTCAAGAAATATGAATTGAGAATAACTTTATATTTTAAATGCTTATACTTAAAAATTTGCCAATATATAAATAATGTAAAATAAGAAATAAAAGGATCATATTTTATTTTAATTTCAAAATCTCTGTAGTTTCCTAGGACATGAGAAAAGTTGTTTTTGTTTTTGTTTTCACTGAGAAAGATTTGCCCTGAGCTAACATCCATTGCCAATCTTCCTCTTTTCTTCTTTTTTATGTGAGCTGCCACCGTAGCATGGCTGCTAACAGACAAGTCATGTAGGTCTATGCCCAGAATCTGAACCCACGCCACCAAAGTGGACAGTGCTGAACACAACCACTAGGCTATCGGGGCTGGCCCAGAAGTTTTGCTTTAATCCCAAGTATTCTTCAAAGAATTAGCTATTTAGGACTCTTTTTTAATGATCTATGGTTACCAAAGGGTTAAAAAAGTAACACAGCTTTTAGAGGATAAGAATTCTTACCCTCTCTGGAAAAAAACAGTCCCATTCTCCACAATGCCAATGTCGCAGTAGTAATGGAGCTTGCCAGGTAAAATTAATAGTGTCATTGTATTATTTTCTAATTAAAATGGGCACAAGCAAGTAAAACAAAAGCCAAAAAACATGAGAGAAATCTGGCACTACTAATTGATTTTGGCTTCTGCTAATTTTTAAATGTCTCAGGTTAAGCAACAAACACACGTTTAGTTTCAGACAAAACTATAGTTCTATTCCTTTCTCTTTTATTCACCAAATTAAAGCACTAGACCTGGCATCTGTCAGAAGGTCAGCCAATCAAGTTCTTGGAAACAGACAGGAAATATGTATTTTTAAAAGCTGTTTATCAATCTAAAATTTGTAACAACAGATGATGCCTTTCTTTTAAAAAATGGATTGTCTATTTTTAAATAATGCAAAGAAGGATTTCAACGTGAAATTCTGCTAATGTCAATTAATCAAGTAATTTCAAATAAGTTCTTATTTTTTAAGTTCCGTAAAGGAGTAGTATTCCCCCTAGTCATTGTGAAATGTTTGAATAAACATTGATGTGAATTTGAGTGTCTTTTTCTTTTACTGTTTTAACATTATTTCAAAATAATTAGTCCATATGACTAATTACAAATACACACACAAACAGACATTGTTGTTTTTAAACTTGTTTGCATACATTAAAATGAAAATGGATCTCTTGGCATTGTGCAGTGCACAACTTACCCAAGTGTATATGGCAGACCTATTGATTGGTATATTTATCCATTTTATGATTATTATTCCAAGCAAAATCATGATGCTATGACTAAGTCCCTTTTGGTCAGGGTCATACTTTAGATATATTACCTATATTGTTACATGCCTCAAAAGAGAACACAGGGCTCATAGCAACAGAGGCAGAATAAATGCCTCAGTGAGATTCCAAGAGCATTAGTCACTTGACAGCTTCTGCTTGTTCACAACAAAGCAAGGGCAAGCTCAATACTTTCTGATACACTGAAGGACAGGCGCAGACAAAAGACTGATACTAGAGTCTGATGTTTAAGAACAAATGACAACTCTTAAAATGTGCTGTAGCTCTGAATTGCTCAAGAAAGTATGAAAGTAATTTTCCAAGCCCATTCCTTGATGTTTCTTTTCTAAAAGAAACATGATCTCTGGAGCCTTTGATTAAAGAAGGGTGTAATCACTCTTTTTAATTCACTCTGATTTCACCTCAAAAGGGATGCCCAAGTTCTCTTCATCCCAGGTCAGCTCTCGCTTCAAACCAGAGGAAGGCAAAAAACGTCAATTTGAGGACGTTTCCCAAAAGCTTAGAAGTTCAGGAGTATTGACATATACTAAACTATACTGTACAAAAAAAAAGAAAGAAAGAAATTGATGGTCCTTATCTGCCAGGGACTGGTCAGAAGAATTTTAAAGAGTGTAACATGGAACATATGCAACTCTTAGGGGCATGTAGAATAATACTTAAGTCAGGCACAAAATATGCATACGTCGAAGACCATTCCTGCTGTTTATCTGCATTCTCTAATATCTCTAGAGTGAACAAGAATTGCTTTTAAAAAGAATAATAGTGAAGTTGCCCTTATTTTTAAAGAATAATAATAAATTACATACTGTGTTTGGAGATTTAAAAAAAAATACAAATCTCAGGATCAGCGCTAACTTCAGGGCCAAAGCTGAGAGATTCTGCTGAATACAGCATAATATAAAAAGAAGACGACCTAGTCACTATGGTGTTAATTGATAAGGGCACGGCTGAATCAAAGAATGGAAAAGAGCTGAGCAGCGAGGGCAGCCAGGGCAGCTCGCACCCGAAAGCCGGTGAGCCTGTCCAACTATCGGCCCGTTTGTTTTCACAGCTTTGCTCGGAACATTTGGAGGGCTGGCCCGGCACTCCCTGCAGAGCCTGAGAGCGGGTGGCGAGCCAAGATACCAGCGGCACATTGTTTCACCTGCGCTGCCAGATACTCAGAAAAAACACACAACGGTTTGTCAAAACAGCCATGGACGCTGCGCGCTCGTTTTCCCTGCAGCCCAGTCCTCGCTGCCAAGGTACACGGCCAGGTTTCTCTGAGCGCCGAGAGATGCTCCGCTAAATTCCTGGCGCGGCGGGGGGGATGTGACATATGAAGGGAACCGGAGTGCTCCCTGGGGAGCCCGGCTCTACCTGGAAAAGGCTGTGCCAGACCCATTAAATCAGGTTCCCACAGCCCTCAGCCTTAGTCAGCACCTGGCCGTGAAATGACTCAGTCGCAAGGAAACCAGAACCAAGGAGGGGCTCCTAGCTTCATGGGAGAGCTCGGCTTCCTAATGCTTCCCCGGCCCCCGAGCTGCGCCGGAATCACATGATTAAAAAGAAAAGCGCAGCCTGCACAACAACCTGAGACAGAACGGGGCTGCCTCTGTCTTCCCTTTGTTATCTGCAGAGTGAGCTCCAGGAGTGCCTTTGTTGGGTTTCCGATGCACCACCAGCAGAAGCGCCTGTGATAAGAAGCTTCTGATTAAGCTCTAAACCTTTGGCACATATCAGCAAAGCCTAATTATGAAAGATCTAATAATATGTTCCTTGTGTTTCTCTGACAACCACATGTTCAGCATCCGGGATGCGATTGGGAATCGAGAAAGATACTGACACTACACATTATTGCACAGGGAGGGGGCACGTTCCTTAAACCATGCACACATGACGGAAGCTGAAGTCTTCATTAGACATACCTAGTGAAAGAGAAAACAGGTTATACACAAAAACAGTTTGTTTAAAGTAAATTTTTTGTCAGCAAAAAAAAAAAGTGTTGCTTGGCAATTAAAACAAGCGGAATGAGGTATTTTTTAATTAACATTCTTCAAGAGGCAGAGAATGTTCAAATGTTGCCACTGTAAGGTTTCTTGCCTCACCTTCTGTCTTTTTTAGACTATATATTTCTAAAAGTATATTAGGTGACAGTTTAACACGCAGGAGAAAGCCTATGGTTGCTCTATACATATGGAAATAAGCTCTCTCAGGCAATACCTGGAACAATGGTGGCAAAATCTATATCAAAGGAGATGGGACGCTTCTCTTTGTGTGAAATGTCTGTGAGCCCTGACTTAATGAGCTCGGGCTAGAGGTGCCACTTTGAACAAATAATGCTGGGTCACCTCCACTCTCCACCCTACAGGCTGCCTGAAAAGTACATGAAAGGGGCCTCTCGAGAGAGAGAGAGATTTACCATATACACTTGACACTTGATCAAAGCCCATGCGTCTGCCTCCCTGAAACAGAAGTGAAAGACACCAAAACTCTGTGGCTGTACCAGGGATCCCAGGGGGCTTCGTTCTCAGCCTTCTGGGGAAACAATTATGCAATTCTGTTCCCCGACGTGCTTCTAAATAGACGTTTTAGAAAACAATCATAGATTATTACACAGAATTCAAAAAGTATCCACGAAATCATTTTGGTCACACTCTCTGATCCACAGCACTGGCACAATGGCTCAGTTATGGCAAATGAATGGGTGAAGAAGAGCCCTTTCTCTATGGACCCAAGTCTTCCCGGAGAACACCTCACCTAAGATCCTCACTGCCACCTTCGCCTCCACCTACATCCCAAGAAATACGAATTGCAAGTGCTATCTGTATCTTTAAAACAAAAGATTCAAAACCAGATACAGGGATTAAGCCAGCTCCCTTCTTCCAGATGTTGAAGTCATTCTGTAACTGCTTTTTCCAGCTCACCATGGATCTCAGAGTTTCTCTCTGTCTTGGATTCAAACACTTGGAAAGTCCCCATCCTATGGTTCTATTGTTGCATATTGTCTGGCCTTTCACTAAATTAGCTCATTAGACCTGAGGATATAAAATTGGTTTTTTCTATTATTATTCTTCCTGGAATGAACAAATAGCTGGATTTTTCTGTATGTTATCATCATCAGTCCCGAACTTTCCATGAAAAAATAGATTCCCCTCCCCCCAGAAATGTTAACTCTTTCTACCAAAGAGCAACCTTTAAATCTCTGAAACCCTCCAAAAATGAATACATCACCAGGAGGCCAAAGGGTTTGCCCTTTTCTTTGGTACCATCACAGTCCATTCATTGCCGAGTCCTGTGTCTGCTGGTTCCCTCAGTGCGCGCAGGCCAGGCCCCTCATGGCCACAGAGCAGAAATCACTTTCGCTGATGGGGAGAGGTGATCCCGATCATTAAAACAGTTTTCAAAGACTCAGCTAATCAGTAGAAATGGCCTCAGATCTGCAGCTAATCTCATCATTCAAATTTCCTGGTTGTGCTGTTTTTCTCCGCCTGATAACATGTTATCAGACTGTAATGGAACCTCACTCTGATCTGGAATAGGGCACTGCAATGAAGTATATACATACCTCTGATATCTTTCTATTCAGAAAGCAGCGAATTTAATTAAGTACCAAAGTATGACGCTGGAGTCCTGAAGTCTAGACTCAGTTTCAGACACCAAATTGTAACCAATGGGCTTAGTTTTGACAATCATATTAAACACAAACAACTGGAAAAATTTACTACGGTGGTCTTTCCTGAAGCAAGTATGGAAAGCAAAAGGAAAAAATACAAAGTGTTTACAAGCAATCTGGAAAGCACTTTTGAAACATTGTGTTAAAATTTAAATTTTTAACTTAACTTTAAATGTATTAACCCCTCTCAGAAATTAGTATATGTGAAAACAATTTAATCCTTGTATTTGGATTTTTCTTACCTTAAATTCTTATTTTAAAAATTAAAATAAAAAATATATGTATTCTTTAAGATGTCTTTTTAAAAAAGCAAAATATAGGCAAAAGAACTAATAGAAGACTCAGAAATATTACAAGCACCTGACTACAAAAAAGATTGAGACCAAGAATGCAAGTATGACAAAAGGTAAAAAAAATTAATAACCCCTTTGGAAAACAGTTTGGTAGTTTCTTACAAAACTAAACATGCTCTTAACCTATGATCCAGCCTTTGTGCTCCTTGATATTTGCCCATATCACTTGAAAACTTATGTCCACACAGAAACCTGGACATAAATAGCAGCTTTATTCACAATTATTAAAACACGAGAGCAACCAAGATGTCCTCCAGTAGGTGAATGGATAAGCAAGCTGTGGTACATCCAGACAATGGAATATTATTTAGCTAAAAAGAAATGAGCAATCAAGCCATGAAAAGACATGGAGGAACATTAAATGTATATTACTAAGTGAAAGAAGTTAATCTGAAAAGATTACATACTGTATAATTTCAACTATATGACATTCTGGAAATGGCAAAACTACGGAGACACTAAAAAGATCAGTGTCTCCTAGGGTTTAGGGGGTGGGGTGAAGGATGAACAGGTGAAATGCAGAGGATTTTCATGGCAGTGAAACTATTCTGTATGAGACTGAAATGACGCACACATGTCATTATATATATTTCTTGTCAAAACCCATAGGACACATAACATAAAGAATGAACCCTAATGTAAACTAGGTATTTTAGTTAATAATAATGTATCAGTATTGGCTTATCAGTTGTAATGCAAGATGGTAATAATAGGGGAAACCGGTTGAGTCGGGGAGAGTGAAGGGGATATATAGGAATTCTCTGTACTTTCTGCTCAATTTCTCTGTAAAACCAAAACAGCTCTCAGAATAAAGCCTATTAATTTTAAACAATTAACAGTTCTGAACATATACACTAATCATGCAAAACGCCATTGAAAGAGTCTATGAATGTCACTCCACAAATATGCCTTTTAACAACTTAGCATTTTAAAATATGCTTTAATATGCTTTGGATTGGAGAATCCAGTTGGAATTCTTTTCCTTCACCAATAAAGTATTTAATTATTAGCATGGGGTTGGATTAATAGTTTGGACCCCCAAACTTCTGTATTTTTATAACCTATCAAAGAGAAAAAAGGTTTCAATGCCTCACTTTCCTTTACCAATATAACCCCAGCACAACGAGATGGTTTCCACTTGCCCCTACTAAATCTGTTCCACTTTGACAGCTTATTACCTTGTAGACACAACCTTACCAAGAATGCTCTTAACCCCATCATCCTAGTCAATGATGGATTATTATCCATCTCTCCAAGACTGACCTCTCGTTACCCTTCATCAGTGTGTCCCAATCTGCTGCGAGAACGTTAATAAGCACCTTCAGCAGGGCCTTCCGGGGGTTTCACAGGGGCCTGGGTTCAGCAGAGGAGCCGAAGGGCCTGCCTCTCTGTGTGCAGCGCTCCTCCCGCCCCCAGTGAACTGGAAAGGAAACAGGAAGGGTGCTCAGGACAGTTCCTACTTTCTGTTTTCCAGATTGAAGTTTCAAGTAAAATTTCTTTCACAAAAAGGAAAAAATATATAGACCATATTATTTATCTTATTATAGTGAAATTAATCAAATTTCTCTTTAACTTGCTGTTCAAAGTGTTCATTCTGCTAGTAAGGTAAATTGCCTCTTTAAAACAAAATACATCGATAACTGAAATTGTAGCTAGTAGCTACCACCTGTCAAGAAATGTAACAGCAGATTGGAGGAGATCAAGGCAGTAGATACCAACCTAGAAAAAGACTGAGAGATGGGGACCTGGAGACTGGCAACAGGGAAGGATTTCCACTTGATATAAGATTAGCAAGTGGCAGGGGAAACCTCTGTGAGTAGAGGGAAGCTAGTAACAGATATTTATCCATCTCAGCAGAAAGACTTTGCTAAGAAAGAAATGATAACCTATTCCCTATTAGAACCTACATTAGTTCAAGCCCATATCCCACATCACACCAAGAGCTAAACACATGTGTACTTGGGCACACGTGCATGTGTGCACTCAGGAAAAGACCATGTGAAGACACAGCAAGAAGGAAGCCATCTGCAAGCCAAGGTGAGAGTCCTCAGAAGAAACCAACCCTGATGGCTCCTTAGCCTTTCAGCCTCCATGCTATGAACATTTGCATGCCCCAAGAATTCATACGTTGAAACCCTAATCCCCAATGCGATGATATTTCGAGGTGGGGCCTTTGTGAGGGAAGCAGATTATGAAAGCGGAGCCCTCCTAATGGATTATAAGAAGAGATTTGAGAGCGATGCTCTCTCTCCCAGCCACGTGAGGATTCAGCCAGAAGGTGGCCATCTGCACACCAGGCAGAGAGCCCTGCCCAGAACCCGACCATGCTGGCACCCTGGGCTCAGACGTCCAGCCTCCACAACTGTGAGAAAAAACGTTTGTTGTTTAAGCCACTCAGTTTATGGTATTATGTTACAGCAGCCCGTGCTGACTAAGTCCCTCCAGAACTGGGGGAAAATAAATCTCTGTGACTTAAGCCACTCAGTCTGTGGTATTTTTGTTATGGCTGCCCTAGCAAACTAATACAGTTTTCAAAAGGCCGAGAGTTCCACATTTCATTCTGCATCAATCAAAGATAGAGTAAGTCCCAGAAAAAAAAAAAATTGGAGAGCAAGAAGAGAAGTACTCCTCACATTCACAGGGTCGTA